CTAAATTTTTCATCCCAATTTCCATTAGTCACTGTTTTAAATTCGCTGTTTATATACCTTCGTTGATGAAGTACCATTCAATTCAATAAATAATTCTCGAAACAGATCTGGCAACACTGTTCATATTTTTTTAAATTTTATTTTTCAGTACCAGCAGTGCTGCGGTCGTAAAATCGGTACAACAGGATGTGACACGGAAATGGTCCTGAGAATCTTATTACCATGGCCGAAAAATACATTGGATGCAATGTCTATTCACCTCGTCTGTGATTTCAAGTATCATTGTGTCATCAATAAGAGGATCAGACTGAAGAAAATAATTAAATAAGAACGAATAAATACAATGGCGTGACGTTTAAGATTGTCGTGTTGGTAGTTAATAATATCTTGCTAAATAGAATTTTACTAAATTTTTTATGATTTAAGTTTGTTTCAGATGTTATTGTGCCATCGACGGAAGATCAAGGAAAATGGTTACACGAGAAGAGATAAATATAAGGTTGTTACATTTGAGTAATGTAACTAACTTTCCTATGAGTAATTAATTATATATGTCATAGAATTTGATTAAATTTTTTATGGCACAAGTATGTTTCAAATGCCATTGTGTCATCGACAGAAAGAGACTAATATTCCCAATTACGTCCAATATAATATCCTTTTTTTATTCTTCTCAGGCTTTTGCATGGAAAATTTTTCCACAAGTAGATCTTTCTGTGACTAGGATTTTGAGAATTAGGGAACATATATTATTTTCTTGGGGTATTGAATAACTACGTTCGTTTATGGTTACAAGATTTATTACGTTTCTGTTATTTACACAAGTTCGTTGTAAGTTTTGGACAAGGGTCCAGAGAAACATTGTGGGATCTAGAGGAGAGAATCGCGTATCCTTACAAAAAAGAACTCTATACAGACATTTTTATCCCCAATGTCGCTATGAACCAGTGCCACAAATACGACGAAACGACAACGCTCGTTTGTTATACATTCGTCGAGTGCTTTCGATAAGTAATCTCTCTACACTGTAGATCGCCCGAAATTATTGCACTTTGCTACAAATTTCACAAAACATCGTGACGAAGAATTTCCATTACTTTTAATTTAATAAGTAAGAATATTAGATTTTCTAAGGATATTAGATTCAAATGTCTTAAACTATTTTTCTTTTTTTTTTTTTTTTTTTT